CGGCACGTGCCGAGCCTGAGCGCACCGCGGTAGCCGTGACAGTGGACGAGAAGACGGCCATTGCTGCAGGTAGGAGCCGCCTCCGTGCCTCCAGGCGGGCAGTCGTCAGTGCCGGGATGGGCGTTTGGCGCCGGCCCACACAGGGGCTCCTGCATGTGGGGTTCTGGGTCACGTCCCCGGGCTCTCAGTGCCCAGGTGAGATCGGCCATTAGGACAAAGGGACTCTTCCCAGGGCATTTCACTTACACAGTGATGGCACCTTAGATCCGAAAGAACTGACGCTCAGGGAGGCTGGGAGACCTGCTCGAGGTCGTGAAGGACAGAGAGGGGGCTCGGGCCCCCTTCCACCCTCCGTGCTTCGTCCTGTCTCCTGGGCTCCAGCATCCGCTCGGAGAGCTGGGATTCTGACCACACCCCTGCGACAAGCGCTCATGCGAGTGTTCATATGGGCCAGCACCGCACGGGGGCCTCCCAGGCGCTTCCGTGTTCAGTCCCGGGTGGGCCGACGGGCGATGGCGTGTTCAGTGCTGGCTGGGCCGATGGACGATGGCGTGTTCAGTCCCAGATGGGCCAGCGGGCTATGGCGTGTTCAGTCCCAGGTGGGCTGACAGGCAATGAATGGCATGTTCAGTCCTAGGTGGGCCAGCGGGCGATGACGTGTTCAGTCCCGGGTGGCCGATGGGCGATGGTGTGTTCAGTCTTGGGGCGATGGTGTGTTCAGTCCTGGGCCGACAGGCGATGGCGTGTTCAGTCCTGGGTGGCCCATGGGCGATGGCGTGTTCAGTCCCGGCTGGGCCAACTGACAGTGGCGTGCCACCGCACTTCACAGCTGAGGGGGCCGAAACACAGGAAGGTTCTCTGCTGGAGCCCATGGCCAGTGGCCAGTGCTGCTGGGGCGTGGCCGCCGCTTGCCAGGCCTGTGCAGGGTGAGCAGGGAGCTCCCCGACGCCCCTGACTGCAGTGTCTTGGTGTCTGTAAAGCCCCCGGCAGCTCCGCCCAGCTGGCTGAGAACCATCGGACTCCGTGGTGAGGCCCTGAGCCCTGTCAGTCCAGGCCCTCGTGCACTCTGCACTGCGATCTTGGACCCGCGGCCTGGCTGCCAGGCATCTGTGTTGTGTCCTGGGCCCTGGCCAGGTGGGACCACTGTGCTGCCGGGCTGGACCAGGCGGGGCGGGCAGGGTGGGTGCTCCAGCCGTGGGCATGGGGATGGAGGGGACCAGCTGGGCTCCTTCCTGCTCAGACAGGGCCCCGGGCTCCTCTCCACTCCGGGTGAGAGGTGTGAGAGGACAGCTCTGACACTGCTCAGCACCCTCCAGGAGACACTTGCGGCTGTCTGGGGACACAGCCGCCAGCAGCCCTCGGGAAGGCCTTTCTTCCCAGAGCCCAGGGCACGCTCACTCCAGACCCGTTTCCAGGCCCGGCCTTGGCCCACACCGACTCCCTGCCGTTGCTCCGTGTTCCTAGCGAGCTGCCTGGCGCGGGCCTTCTGAGGGCTGTTCACTCAGGGTCTGGGAGGGAGGCGGCCTCGGGGTGCAGCTGCTGCCAGGGCTTTCCTGCGTCCTCCAATTATGTGATATCGTCTTTAACTCAGAGCTGAATTAGAGCCGTGAGGGGTTGCCATAGAAACCGTGTCCCGGAGCCTCCGGTGTAAGTTGCTGCAGACAAGTGCTCGCAGGCTCTGGGGTGCCCGGATGTGACAGGATGCGGCACTGGAGGGCTCGTCCTCCTCTTGCGATTTCTTCTCCCCAGCTACGGCTCAGCATCCCTGGCTGGGGCACCCACGGTCTAGAAGCCCACAGCCCGAGTGCGTGTGCACATGCCCGGGGGCCGTGGCACGGGTCTGCAGTGGGGAGCTGTGTGCAGTGTCTGTGCAGGAGGTGCGGGGCCCGGTGCGGGGTGACTATCGCTGTGCTGACTGTGACCAGTCCACTGAAGGGCAGGTGGAGGAGGGTCCCTGCAGCCTCTGTGCAGGTCACTTAAAACTGCTGCAAGTCTAACTCCAGTCAGGATCGCTCTCAGTGCTCTGTGTTCCTGGGCACCAGCTGAGGACCACGGACAGGTGTAAGGACCGGGCATGTCCCCGCGTGTCCTGCATGCACATGTACCCGCGAGGCTCCCCGCTGGGCGCCACACACCCCCTCCTCGCAGGCCTCCGCAGCTCGGGCTGCCCTGGCCTTGGTGCTGACGTCCCCTCCAGAGCCCTGGTGGGGGTGGGGGGCTGCAGCTCTGTCTGCTTCTGCTCCGGGGCTTGGGGGAGACTTGTCTCTAGAGTCTGCTACAGCCATGGGGCTAGAGGAGGCCACAGCCCACACTGTCCCCCTAGGATAGACGTGCAGCCCAGTGCGGCCACCAAGCCAGGCTAGAGCAGAAATGGCCACCCTGATGGCCCACGCCTCACTGGGCTGTCTTCTGGCTTGCCAATTTGTCATCCAAAGGAAGGTTCCTAGCAAGGAGAGAATTCCACCCTAGTCCCCAAAGACTGAGAAACCATGCAGCTTGGACCTGGTCAGACAGTGGTCACCTCTGGAGACAGGTGGCCAGCCGAGCTGTGGGCTCAGTCGTCACTTACGCTTGGAGCGAGAGTCCGGTAGCCCGGGGGCCTTGGCCTCCTGTTCCAGAATCCTGCTCTCCACCTGCAAACCGAGAGCGGGGTTCCCGGTGCAGAAAGTCTTAAAGGGCAAGGTGGTAGGGGGTGAGCCGGGACTTCCCCTCCCTGTCAGCAAGCCCAGGCTCACACAACCCTCCCCCAGCTCCCAGCACACACGGGAGGGTCCTCTGGGCAAAGCAGCCCATCTGTGCTTGACTGCCAGGGCAGATCCACGTCAAGCAGGGCAGTGAGCCGCGGGCGGCAGTGGGGTCTGCAGCCCACCTTCTGGTGCAGCTCAGTGAAACCTCCTGAGGCTCCCGGATCCGCCAGACAGCCAGAGCGTGGGCGGGCTTAGCCACCTCCGCGGCCTGCCTGCGCTTGCTGCCCTCGCCTCCCCCAGCCTCATTCCCATCGGGTCCTCTCCTCTCCTCTCCTGCAGCCCGAGGCCTGGGCCAGGCGGGAGGCACCCATCTGTCGTGTCTGCAGTCTGTGCACGGTGACGGCCCTCAGGAGGTGCAGGAGGCTGCTCTCTGGCACCGGCCCCTCCCACCCAAGGAAATCAGCAAGTTAATAGGAAAATACAGTCTTTATTGGTTTCTGAAACAACAAACCAGAAATATAATTTTGCCTTAAAAATCTCTGTCTCAGGCTGAAGATACACCATGGACAATGCCCTCCCTGCCCCGGCTCCCTTTAAAAACCCCCCAGATCTGGGATCAGGCCATGAGTCAAAGAAGGAAGACGGTGCCCCAGCCGGGGAGGCGCACAGCCCTGACACGCAGAGCAGAGCACACAGGCGTCTGGCCCCTGCAGCCCACCCTACTCCTGCGAGCAGGCCCAGGGGGGCGAGGTGAGCGAGCCCACCCTGGCACCTCCGCAACCCCTCACCTAGGTGTTTAGGCTGGGCTCCTCCTGTGCCCCCAAGACCCTAGTCTTACAGCCAAAAGCTGGCCTGTCCCTCTGGGCCCTCTTACGAGCACAGGAGGTCAGCGTCCTGTAGGGGGAACCTGGGTGTTCACCAACAGTGGACGCGCCAAGAGGAGGCAGATCTAGAAAAGGAGACTAGGGACGCTAGAGACCAGCACGGCCCCGCGGGTAGGACCCCGCCGTTCTCTGGGGCCATTAAAAGCTGCGAGGAGTTGGACTGGGCAGACGGCCTGGGAAAGGAGACCTCACAGTGAAGCCTCTGAACAGAACGTGGCCAGCCGCGGCCTGCTGCTGGAGTGTGCGGGGCACAGACAGGGCCACCGCGCTCTCTGCCTGCCACCTGCTTGGGCACTGCTGGTCACAGGGCAGCCCGAGTCCCAGCCCCAGGTCACAGGCAGAGGACGCTGCAGATGGCGGGCTGAGAGATACGAGAGGCGGTGCCCAGGCTGTAGCAGTGACGGTGGGCCTGGGTGTCCCCACGAGCCTGGCGGCGGGGTGAGCTAGGGCAGTTCTGCAGAAACACCTGGGTGTGTGGTGGGCTCTCGGGACTGCCGTCCACACCTCTGCAGCTTCACAGCCCAAGGGCCAGTGTCCTCGAAAGACCCATCAGGAGAGGTGTGAGCGGTTGCCGTGGTGACAGGCAGCTCTCCGCAGTTTGGCCCACTTTGGAGGATCTCAGCGGAGTCCTGCATTCCCTTCTCGGTCGGGGTTCCTCCCATTGACAGAGATCACAGCAAGCGAGCGAGGGATCCTGGTCCACGGGGAGGGACACGCGTGCTCCCCGGGGCCAGGCCGTGTCCACGTGCCTGTATGTGTGGCGTGTGCGAGTGGCTAGCCCTCGTGACTGCCAGGACACTGTGAGTGTGTGTGGGGCTGGCTGAGGGTCGGGGGCAGCGTGGTCGGAGCAAGAGCAGCCCCGGGGCCTGGTGGCGTCGGGAGTACGTGGTCACAGCGCTGTGTTTCTACGTGCTGGGTCTGGGTGGCGTGTGCCGTGTGCCGAGAACCAGCATGGGAAGCGAGACCAGCTTCACCCTGTGTGGGTCAGCAGTCCCTTTCTGGCTGAGAGTCACAAAACCTACCCCTGGCCCCACATCCTCTGAGCCACCCCTAAAGCAGAGGAGGTGGATGTGCACGAGAGGCAGGGGAGGGTTCCCAGCCACGGCTACCACAGCGTGGCGGCAACAGAGGCTGCTCGGCCAGAAGCCTCCCGCGCCCCCTCCTCCCTGTGGCCAGACGTTGCCCAGACTGGGCAGCCCCGAGAGGACCCCCGCACAGAGGGCTTCCAGGGAGACCCGGAGGTCAGGGGAGAGCCTGCTGCGCGCCTCTGCGCTCTGGCAGGAGCGTGGCCAGGGAGGCCAGGCAGCAGCCATGCGGGACGGAGAGCCAGCCCTGCCCGGGCCTGCCCCATGCTCTCGCTGCTCCTGCTGCCCCGGCCGGGCAGGCAGGCTCTCAGGCCACAGACGAGATCTGCCTCTGGTCTTCGTGCTCCGCCTCGGGGTCCCCCATCAGCGGCTGGCGCTTCTTGAGCTCCCGGTGGTACTTGGCCATGAGGGAGGCGTAGATGCAGCCGTAGGCGGCGGCCACCACCATCATGATGCAGACGATGCCGCAGACCACCCCCGCGATGATCACTGTGCCGATGGCTCGCCGCACGCTCACCGGCCGGTACCTCTGCTTCTGGGGGCAAGCCGTGCTGGGCTCGGGCTCCGGCTCGGCCCCGGGCTTGGGCTTAGCAGGTTCTGGGCTGGCCTTGGTGCAGGGCGGTCCAGGCAGGTACAGCCCCGCCGAGCTGTCGGCGTCCTCCAGCTGGGAGCAGTAGTTGAACATCTCCATGGGGACCGTGCGCATGTCCTTCCCCCTCAGCTCCTTGGGCAGGGTGCAGGCCAGCTGGTCCAAGCGCCCCCCTGCACCCGGGAGAAGAGAGGAGCCTTGAGCAGGCATGCATGCCTACACCCCGCCCCGGCCCCAGGCCCCCGATGGAGGCCTTGAAGGGACAGGCCTGTGAGCGACACAGCGTCCGGAGTCACTGCACGGCAGAGCAGAGGGAGGGGGGAGCAGCACCAGTCCAGCCGGGTACCGCAGTGGGCGCCTCCCCGTGCCGTCGTGCCTGCGCATTCTTGCAGGAGCCACGGAGCATGGGCACTGCCGTTACTCTCTTCGTAAAGAAGCCACGGACACACCACCCACACGTGCCCTTTCAGGTCACACAGACCCGCGGGAGCGAAACGGTGCTCAAGCGAGAGATGCTTGGGAGAGACTCGTCAGCAGGTGTCCCTGCCAGACCACCGTCCTGCGCGTTTCTGCCCTGAATCCACCCACTCCCCACCGGGCTGCGACCCCGGGATGCCACTGTCCACACAGTATCTCCTCCCTCCCGGCTCTCCTCAGAAAGGACAAAGCCAAAGTGACCGCCTCAGCTGCCGCTCCTTACGGTGGCCCGAGAATGCCTCCCTGGGGTAGGGAGGGGGACACCGGCGAGGGCGTCTCCCCTCCTGCTTTGGAGCAATCCAGGGCCCCATGGGCTCCCGACCACAGCAGCTTTGAGCACAAAGGCATCGTGAAGGGAATCCCGGAGTCCCAGGAGCCCAAGAGGAGGCTGGCACAGATGAGGGCACGGGCAGGTGGGTACAGGCTCCCAGGATGTGCTCATGGCAATGGCAAAGCCGGCACGCCCTTGGGGAGCTACAGGTGCAGGTCAGGGAGGGACGAGAGACAAGGCAGCTGAGGACAGTGCCCGCCTCCAAGGCCCCAGGAGTCGACTACTGGATTTGGGCCCCCTCAGCTTCCAGCGAAATCTAGGGGTGAGCACTAAGCCCTGCTAGACAGGCTCGCCCACCACTCTGTCGCGGCCCTCCAGCCCAGCCGCCACCTGCCCCCCACTGGCATCAGTCGTTCTTGGGATGCTGATGAAAACATCCCACAACTTATTGTTTAAGAAGTGGGGGCTGGCAGGACCAGCAGTTGGCGTAATGGCTCTGTCGCTGGACTCCCATGTAGTCGACCACGGTTCGAATCCCAGACCCGGTGGCTTAAACTCACACTGGGCGCGTGTGCGTGCGTGCCCAAGATCCCGAGAGGAGAATGGAGGAGAACGGATTGCGGCGTGGCCATCCCCCCAGGGGGGTGATTTCTCGCTTTCTGTCTCTATGTCTCTCTCTGTCTGTCTGGCGAGCGCACGTGCCCTATAGCAAAAATCTCTCAAAAAAGAAAAAAAAAAAAAGAAGTGGGGGCTGGCAAGTGGTGTGGTTAGGGGCGCTGGACCCCCACATGGCTGACCGCGGTTCGAGTCCCGACCTGGTGGCTTGCTTTCTCACTTTCCCTCTCCCTCTCACTCGCACTCTGTCCCTCTCTGGTCATATTAAAATAAGTAAATAAATAAAGTTAACTAATTTAAATTAACTAATCAATTTAATGAAATAGATAAGAAGTGTAAGGTGAGGGCAGCAGGTGGCATGGTGGATGGGCCACTGGACTCCCATGTGTCAACCACGGTTCAAGTCCCAAACCCAGCAGCTTGAAAACCACGTCAGGCACATGTGCATACATGCCCGAATTCCAGCAGAAGGGAGAAGGGACTATGCATGGCCATCCTCCCTGGGGGTGCCTTCTCACTTTTCCTCTCTCTCTGTCTCTCTCCATAAGCACATGTATCCCCTGGCAAAACCAAAAACCAAGCAAGCGAAGTGTAAGGTTGAAGGCAACTCTGCTATTGCAAAGGCTGAGAGAGCTTTTCAGCAGTGGGTGGTGGTTCAGGCACGTGGATCCTATGCAGTTTGAGTCCTGGACCCAGTGGTGTGAAAAACAACTGGGGCACGTGTGTGTGCCCAAAATCTCAGGGAGACAATGGGGAAGGGATTGTGGTGGTAGCTATAGCCATGCCCATGGGGGGGTGTACTCGCTCACTCTCCTCTCCCCCTTCTCTCTGGGGAGTGCATGGGCCTTAAAGACAAATTACAAAAGGAAAAGAAACGGTTGAGAAACGCACAGTGCCACTCCGTGCTTCTTGTGCTAGGAGTGTGGTTCCGGCAACGATGTCTCCTAGGATCATACTGACCAGGCGGCCTTTCGTCCCAGCACCCTGGTCGCCTGCGGGCCTACAGCAAGTCTACGCCCAGCAAGCACGTGCCCAGGGCCGCTGCAGTAGACAGCAGAGAGCTGGCGTCTACGCGGGCAGCCCCCTGGTTTCCTGCTTGAAAGACCTCAAGTTGAATCCTGGCTGTGTCCTGTGAAAATACTTAACTTGTTTAATACAACTGAGTCTTACTTTGCTAAGCTGTAAAGAAAGACTTCCTACCTCAGGGGCCAGCAGGCAGTGTAGTGGCTAAGGTGCTGGACTCCCACAGGGCCAACTGCAATCTGAGTCGCGGGCCCAGAGGCTTGAAACTCACACCGAGTGCATGTGTGTGCGTGCCCAAAACCCTGAGAGAAGACTGGGGGAGAAGGGACTGTGACGCGGCCAGACCCCCATGACTTCTCAGGTGATCTCTCTCTCTCTCTCTCTCTCTCTGTCTCCCTTTCTCTCTCTCTCTCCCTCTGTCTCCCTTTCTCTGCCCCTCTGGTGAGTGTATGTGCCCTATGGCAAAAAAAAAAAAAGTATATCAGCAATTATAGAGATTAAAATAGGAGGAAACAGCAGGTGGCGTGGTGGCGGGGGCACTAGATTCCCACATAGGGGACTTGGAAAAATCATGCTGGGCAGGAGTGCCCAAAGTCCCGAGAGGAGGATGGAGAAGGGACTGTTGCACGGCCATCTCCCCTCGGGGGCGATTTCTCACTTTCCCTCTCCCTGTCTCTTTCTGGCAAAAACCTTTAAAACCTTAAAACAGGTAAGTAGACAATTGCATAAACACATCTGTACACTGGAAGCTAGGCAACGATCAATCCTTACTTCCCCACTGACGGACAGGAAGGGACCTCGCAGGGGCTGACATCTTACGTGCTCCATCGTCGGCCAGTGTCTTAACGAACTCACGGGAGACTGGCCGGGCAGCACTGAGGACCTGGCAGGGTGTGGACCTGCAGGAAGCAGCGCTGCACGATCCGTTCCCTCAGCACACGGTCACCCAGCTGTCTCAGCAAGCCCACTTCAAACCACAGCTCCCGCAGAGCAGGCCCGGGAGGGTTCTGCTGGAGACTCCCCCTGAGCTGGGCGCTCTCCGGGAGTCACGGGCTGGCGAGCCTCACCGTGGTCCCCTGAGAGGGGCGGCACTCCCATTCTCTGTCCCGGCCGAGACACTGCCCCTGGGAGATGCCAGTCACCCTTCTCGGGATCACCAGAGCCCAGATCCGACCGCTCTGCTGACCTGCCTGCCCTCCTCATTTCTGTCTGACCATTTCCTTGGTGACGAGAGAACTGTCCCAGGTTAAAGAAAGGAGGGAGGGAAACAAAGAGAAACTTCCAGCATTTGGTTTCTTATTTTATTGCTTTCTCTTTTTGTTTTTCTTTTTTTATTTTTCTCTAGGCTATGTGTGCTCTCCTGAGAGAGTCACAGACAGAAAGAGGAAGAGGGAGAAATCACCCCTGGGGGATGGCCTCACTGCAGTCCCTTCTCCTCCATTCTCCTCTTGGGATTTTGGGCACGCACGCCCGCGCCTGGCCTGAGTTTCAAGGCACAGGGTCCGGGACCTTCATGCCACCTGCTGGCCGCCCACCAGCATTTGGCTTCTTTTTAAGTTCTGATAAAACTTCCTGGGACGGGGCCGGCAGGTGGCGTGGTGGTTAAGGGCGCTGGACTCCCACATGGTCCACCCAGGTTCAAGTCTGGGACCTGGCAGCTTTCTCTCTCTCTCTCTCTCCCCCCCCTCTGGTCAAATTAAAATAAATAAATACATAAATAAATAAAACTCAAGGACAGTTGGGCCCCACCTGGGTGCCAGTTGCAGGCCGCCCTCCTGGAGGCGGGTATGCAGAGATGGCCATGTTGCTCAGAAGGAAAGGTGGGTCTTCCCCCTTCCACCGTGCCAGGGGAAGTGAGAGATCACCCCCGGGGGGATGGCCACACTGCAGTCCCCCCTCCTCCACTCTCCTCTCGGGATTTTAGGCACACGCACGGGTGCCCTTTGTGTCTCAGACTGCCGGGTCTAGGACTCAGACGACGCGGCCGGCCGTGTGGGGTCCAGCCGTTCACCCACTACACCACGCCAGCAGCCCCAGTATGCTGTCCCTCACTGACCCCACACAGGTGCGATGGGGGAAGGACCCCCAGAGCCTAGGTGCCCTGCTGGCAGGACCGTGGTGGGCGGCCACCAGGAGGAGGCGAGCTGCCCCCCTCCGCCCCTGCCCTCCCCCCTCCCCCGGTGCCCAGGGGGTCCGCGCTCACCTCTGTCTGAGAACCACTCCA